CTCCCAATAGGATCCCAGTTGCCCCCAAGGTGGTCCCAGTTGCTCACAGTCCCCCCCCACAATGGTTCCTTTCCCTCTCAGGGACTCCCAGTCTGAGTCCAGTCTGGCCCCAGGCACTTTCAGTCACTGCCTGGAGCAGGTCATTTGCCCCTGCATGGTCCCAGTTGCTCCCAGGATGATCTCAGTATGTGTCCAGTATGTGTCCCAGTATGGCCCCAGGAACTTGCAGACACTTGCAGTATGAATCCAGTTTGATCCCAGTCATCCCCAGTATGGTTGCAGTCCCTCTCACATAGTCCCAGGAGTATTGAAGTCACTCCCAGTATGGTCCCAGTATGAGCCCAGCAGGGGCCCAGCTGCTCTCACTCTGATCCCAGTTGCCCCCAGTGTGGTTGCTCCAGGATGGATCAGGAATGGGGACCCCTCTGTGCCCCCCCCTTGTGTCACCCTGTTCTGGGGGACCTTTGGGGTGACATCTGCACCCCAACACAGCATCCAACGCATCCCAAAGTGTACTGGGACCCCCTTGAACCTGGGAATTGAGGGGAACCATGGAAAACCCTTCTCAGAGAGAAAATTGGGTGACCCGAGTCCTGGATGCTTTTAGGAAAGAGGTCTGAACATTTCTTGAAGAATGGAGGGGGGTGACTTTTTTATTCTTGACCTTTCCAGTTCTCCATTTGGGGGCAGGATGTCCTCTGGGCCAATGTTTTGTTCCCTTTGCAGTGAGTGCAGCCTCAGAGGGCTGAGCCCTCTCTGGCTGGGCTTGGCCTCTCCTGCAGAGACTCAGACCTGGCTGGGCTGCCCCAGGCAGACGCTGCAGGAAGAAGAGCTCAGGCCGCCTGGCTCTGGTGTCCCTGGGGCTCAGCCTGTGCCCCATTGCTGGGCAGGGGCTGAGCCCCATCTCTGCCTCGGGGCCTTGGCCAAAGGGCTGGCAAGGAAGAGGCCCAGCAGCCTTGGGGCCTGCCCAGCTTTCCTCCTCCCTGGGGGCTCTCAGTCCTCCCCTGACACCGTGTGGGCCCAAGGCCTTGCTGGCTTCGGGCTCACGGCCCGCCGGCACCATCCCAGCGGCCTGACCCCCCTCCTTCCCCTCTCTCCAGCCTCTCCTGCCTTTGCTGGCAAGGGGCCATCCAAGGAAAACCCTGGTTCTCAGCAATGGCACCTGTGGCACGGCTGCAAGGCTCGAGTGGGCCAGGCAAGAGCAGGAGCAGCGAGAGCCTGAGGAGCCAGGAGATGCCCTGGCTGGGCATCGTGCTGCTGCGGGACGAGCTGACCCCTCTGCACAGTCTCTGCCCGTCCCTGCCAGCCGACTTCTGCCCAGGCTCTGGGCACGGGGACGCAGCACTGACAGTTTTCAGCCCCCGCGCTGTTCCACAGAGGCTGTGATGTCACAAGGCCCTTGCCTGGCAGCCAGGAGATGGGCAAGGCAAGGCAAGGACGGAGCCTCGGAGCCACCAGCATGCCGTCCCCAAAGGCTGGGCTGGCACAGAAGCCCAGAGTCCATGAGCTTGGCAGACACTTGTGAGATCAACCGGCGTCCAGCCTACGCCCCATCCCCAGCACGTCAAGCAGACCACGGCACTCAGTGCCATGACCAGTCTTTGCTTAAACAGAGAACTTGTAAGCCAAGGGACAGGAATTCTTTTGTCTGCTAAAATGTAAAAAGAGTTAAAGGTTTTGAGAACTGATGTACAGGTGTTAGAGAGCAATTGCTGTGTCCCTTCAGCGCTGAATGAAGTAGGGTCACCTCTGGAACCCAACCAACTGCTCAGAGATTTTATTCCCCAGCTTTCACTGACAGTTTCTGGGGACCCAGAAGAGACAAAGCAGCGCCGACAGGGCAGAGCAGAGGAATCGTTGGCCCTGCAGCGTGTACCAAAGGAGTTTTGGGGAGATCTTCCAGTTCCCTGGTCTGGAGAGTTCACCATGCCTTCTTTTCTGGGAAAAAGAACAGGCCATGAATTTTGGGTGCTTGATTTTAAGGCCTTTTGCCTGCACATAAGGCACAGCAATGGGAAGGACGCAGCGTGAGGCTGAGAGGTTTCTGTTCTGGTTTGTGGGCTTGGGTGAGATTGGGCCAGAATTACAGGACACCTGTAAAATCTGGGCTTTGGGAAAGGTTGGGGAGGGTTGGGAAAGGTGTTCAAAGGGTGGTTTTGCCTGAGGTGTTAAACATGGGAGTGGGTCTGTCTTCCCAATTCCCAAGAGAAGAGATCCCAGAAAGCTCCCCTGCAGGTTGTGTTTTAGGGAACAGGAGAAGAGACCGAGGGTAAGGGGGTTCTTTCCTGGAGGGAAGGGCTGTCGTTCACTTGCAGGAGCCCTGTGCTGAAATTGCCAGTCTGACTGCCCAAACTGAACACAGCTGAAGATTCCTGCCAGACAAAAAGGGCCAGCACAGAAAGCTCTTGCTGCCCATGGAGTGCCCAGGGTGGCCCCCCAACTGCATCTGAAACCCAAAGGTTCCAGGCTTTCTTTCCTGGGGGAAAGGCCATGACATCCCAAAGAGTCCCGTGGCAGACAGGTGGGGCTGCACTGTGGGGGTGTGAGGTGTTGGTTCTTTGGTTGCCAGGGGCTATTCCAGAATGGAGAGGACAGGCTGTGACATCACAAAGGGGCCCATGGCACAGGGGTTGGGCTGCACTGGGGGCTGTGAGACATTGGTGTTTTGGTTTCCAGCAGCCATTCTGGAATGGAGGGGATAGGCTGTGACATCACAAGAGGGCCCATGGCACAAAGGTGGGGCTTCACTCTGGGGTTGTAGGGCGTTGGTTCTTTGGTTGCCAGGGCCCATTCTGGAATGGAGAGGACAGGCTGTGACACCACAAAGGAGCCCTTGGCACATGGATGGGGTTGAACTGTCACATGGTGGGGGCTTGGTTCTTTGGTTTCCAGAGGCCATTCCAGAATGGAGAGGATAGGCCAGAATGGATAGGACAACAAAAGGGCCCAAAGCACATGGGTTGATCTGCACTATAGTGTGGGGTGTTGGTTCTTTGGTTACAAGGACTTATTCTGGAATGGAGGGGACAGACTGTGACAAGAAGTGCCTGTCAGAACTGCAAAGAATCTTATGTGGGCACAAGAATCTTATGTGGACATATTCTCTGCTCTGCCCTGCACACCTTTGTGCTGGAGTCAAAACTCAGCCTCTCCGTTTCCCTCTCCTGAGGGACTTGTTCTTAGACATCCCTTTCCCCTGCGCTCCTTTCAAAAGCCCTCCTGGTAATTCTCAAGCCTGTACCCGGCTCTCATCCCCTCTCTGTCCTCTTCCCAATCCCCTGGTCAATCCCAAGATCCCAGGACAGGGATTCCAGTTGCTTGGCTGCACTCCCACCTAGTTCCATATGGTGGCCCATGATATCCCAGCGCTGGAGCAGCCAGGTCAGCAGGGGCTCTCCCAGCTGGAGCCTGAAATCTTTTCACATCTCTCACAGCTCAGCCGGGGATGGGGATCGGGTGATTATCTCTGGCCCTGCCTCTTGCTCCTGTTCTGAGGGCTCTGCTTCCCCTTCATCCCTCACTAACTGAGCTGATTTGGTCTTGGATTTCTTCTGTAGAGGGGCAGCTGCTACTGGCAAGGGTTGTTCCTCTGCAGTTTGAGTGGCCACGGTACCTCTTGGTCTCCTTTCCTCCTCCTCCCCCTGAGGGCACTGGGTCTTAGTTTAACAAGATTACAACTTAGAAATTAAGAGACTTCAGGTGGAAGTGTGGAAAAGGAAAAGAAACAGCTTTTTATTAACAAAATCTGAATAAACAACAAATGGTGCAACCAAAAACTTTGAGAAGAAACCAAACAAAGTCCCAAATCCCCAGGTGGGGGGGAGAAACTGTCCCGGCAGTTCAAAGCTCTCGCAGCCCCGTGTGCTCGCAGCCAGCAGTGAAGGAGTCCCTTTTCCCAGGGGCAGTCCCCAAAGCAGAACACCTCGCTCCCAGATGGGTCGGGCTCTCTCTCTCTCTCTCTCTCTCTCTCTCTCTCTCTCGGTCGCTCTCCACGAGGTGTCCCGGTGGGAAAAAACTTCCTCTCAGGAAAAGAGAACAAGGTGGCCAAAACCAGCTCCCGCTCTGTCCGGTCCCGGACAAACCCCAAAAGCCCCCGAACAAAGGACCCCCCGCCCTCCCCGCGGCCACCGCGGTGTCCCCGAGAGCCGCCCTCCCCCCACTGCCCCTGCCCAGCGCCTGCGGCTCCGCTCCAACCCACCCCATCCCGGGAGACACAGATGGCAATGGGGGGGACACTGGGAAACAATTCCAACACCTCTTTTCAAACCTCTGACACCTGCTTCCCAGACATTCCCAAAGAAGGGGCTTCCCGTGGCCCCGAGCCAGGGACCGACCTTTGTATTGAACCAACTCCTGGAGAGACACGTTCCCATCCCTGTCCCCATTCCCATTCCTGGGGTTCCCATCCCTGTCCCCATTCCCATTCCTGGGGTTCCCATCCCTCTCCCCATTCCAATTCCTGGGGTTCCCATCCCTGTCCCCATTCCAATTCCTGGGGTTCCCATCCCTCTCCCCATTCCCACTTCCTGCTGTGCCAACCTGCTCCCAGTGTCCCCGTTCCTGTCCCCACTATCCCTATCCTGGTCTCCCATGTCCCCATTCCCAGTGTCCCAATTCCCATTCCTGGTGACTCCAACCTGCTCCCAATGTCCCCATTCCCATTCCTGGAGTTCCCATTCCCATTCCTGCTGTCCCCAACGTGCTCCCAGTGTCCCCATCCCTGTCCCCAATGTCCCCATCCCAATCCCCCCTGTCCCCATTCCCATTCCTGGTTCCCACAGAGGAACTGCCGGATGCCAGAGGAGGGAGCCAGGATTTATTGCCCAAAGCAGGAGATTTTCACACCCAAATTAAAGCCTCTGGAATAATTGTGGTCCTGGGTTTCACATGGGAAAAAGCAGGAAGTTGATCCATCAGGAAGAGCCGCAAGGGGGCCAGGCTGGGTGGGAGCAGCGGGATGAGCTCTGTCAGCAGCTCCTGCCTTTCCACAGGGAGAGGGAAGGGGCAGATCCAGCTCCAGGATCGCTCAGGCTGTGATTCCTGCTGGGATGAGAGTGGGGAAAGGAGTCACCCTGTCCCTGTTCCCATCCCAGGGGATGGAGCCGACTGTGGACCCCAGGGAGAGTAGGAACTGCTCTGGAATCCCACCTGATCCTGCTCGGTCCATCCCACCCCAATCCCACTCCGTCCATCCCACCCCAATCCCACTCCAGAATCCAGCCCTGATCCCAGTCCACAATTCCACCTGAGCCCACTCTGGAATCCTACCCTGAGCTGGAATCCCCTTCCAATCCCGCTCCAGCCATTAGGCCCCCATTCCCCTCTGGAATCCCGGCCTCCATCCTGGGATCCCTGCCCAGAGGATCTGGATCCACACACGCTGCTGGGACTCACTGGTGGGCGCGGGGTCGTATCCATTCTCCTCCCTCTTCCCTATGGAAAGAAAGCGGGATCAGCACCCGTGGCACAGGATCCCCGGAATGCTGCCGGGCGGATCCGTGCCCCTTCCCGACCCCCATGCCGGGAGTTACCGGATCGGAGCTTCCAGACACCGACTCCCAGGAGGCCGATGATGATGATGATGGCAGCGATGACGGACACAGTGTCCTAGTTAGAACAGCTGGGACCGATTCCTCACTGGATGGGTGTAGCCCAAAACTGTGGATTCTCTGGCCTTCGATGCCATTTTCCCAGGAACTGTTGTCAGGAGAGGCCTGCCAGGTGGGGGGGATGTCCTGAGCACCCTCATAGCCTTTTATGGACTGAGCATCCTCATATCCTTTTATGGAATTGCCCGCTCTGAGGGGAGGACTGATCATCCTTTTATGGAATTGCCCGCTGTGAGGGGAGGACTGGGCATTCCTGCCTGAACTGGAGAATATATAAACCTGGAGTTTCAGAACCTTTTTACCAGTCGTGGGATCCAGAGGAGGACTGCAGCTCACCGCTCTCAACCAGCCTGAGACCACCCCCCTCAACTGGACTGCAACCACCACTTTTGACCAGACTGCAACAGCTCTCCCACCAGCAGGTTTTTTTCCCCTCTCCCTTTACTTTGGACTCGGGGGGGCCCAAAGAAAACCACTCTGTTCAGGTCCCAGGGTGCTGGGTTCTACATTTGGGTTTTGTGGATTAAAACCAATTGCTTGTCTGTATAATCAGACTTATTGGGCAAGGGGGGCCCAAGGGGGGCCCAAGGGGGGCCCAAGGGGGGCCCAAGGGGGCTGGGCCAGGGGGGGAAGGGCTGCAGGGGGTGGATCCCGGAGGAGGAAACTCGCCAAAAGCGGCGGCCCAGCCGAGGGAGGAGCCGAGCGGGAGCACAAAGAAGAGCAGCCCAAAGGTCCTGGCGGTGGCTCCGCAATGGCGGGGGGGGCAAGAGCGGTTTGGGGGCCCCCCGTGAGAGCCGGGGGGGAACCCCGGTAGCCGCGGAGTGGGGAGAGCGGAGAGGGGCGATCCCGGAGCTGGGGGACCCCCGGAATGCTGGAGGGGGGGAGCAGAGAGGGAGCGCCGGGCCCCTTAAGCGGGGGTCCCGGAGAGGGGGAAGGCCTTGGAGTGTGGAGAGGAGGGGGGGCCTTGAGGCGGGGTGGGAGCCGAGAGCGCCAAGAGGTTTGCGAGGGTGGGAGGCGAGAGAGGAGGGCCGGCCGGCCCCGGGAGGCAGAGTGGGGAGAAGTGAGCCCTGGGACCCCCCTGGCAACACTAAAGGGGACCCCAGAGAGTGGGAAGCCCCCGGAGCCGCGGGACCCCCGGCAGTCCGGAGAAGGGGGACCCCCAATGCAGGCAGAAGTGCCATCAGGCCAGACGGGGGGACCCCCCTAACCCTAGAGAGCAGAGAGGGGGAACTCCTGGGAGGGGTTTTTGGGCTGAATGTTGGTGTTTTGGGGGTTTTTATGGGCACAAGATGCCCAGTGAGTCCTAGAGCTGGACTTGGGTAGGAGAAACACCCAAGGCAACGCACTCACCCCTTGTTTTTCCCCCCCCAGCAGGATTTCTGCTTCCCAAAGCTTGGGCGGATGGAGGAGGAGGCTGCGAGGAAGAGGAAGATGCCTTGGGCCCCCCAGGCAGGTGAGGAGGAAGTCAGTGCCCCTTTGGGTGGGTCTTTTGTCTTTTGTGGCCGTCCTGCCGGGGTCGGAGTTGGGGGGATGTCCTTGGGCTTCCCTGTGGGCCGGAGGCAAATCCCCTGCGTGTCCTTGTTGCTTCCTGCCCCAGGCCCCGAGGTGAGGCCGGAGGCGCGGAGGACAAATCCCGGCGGCAGAGCCTGGTGGGAGAGGCCGTTTTGAAGGGCTCCCCGGCGCAGGAAGGCAGCGGGGAGGAAAAGGGCCGGAGATGCCCCCGCAGGAGGGGCTGCAAAGCCAGCCCAGGGGGCTGTGAGGAGGAAAGAGCCAGCGTGTGCCGGGAAGGCGGCCGGAGCTTGAGGCGGAGCTGCGAGCTGGTGGTCCCTGAGCAGCCTCCCAGCAGGGAAAAGCCCTTCAGGTGTTTGGAATGTGGGAAGAGCTTCAGCAAGAGCACTGACCTCCTCAGCCACCAGATGATCCACAGTCGGGAAGGCCCTACACGTGTGCGGAGTGTGGGAAGAGCTTCAGGGACAGCTCCAGCCTTTGCAAACACCGTTGCATCCACACCAGGGAATGGCCCTACAAGTGCTTGGAATGTGGGAAGAGCTTCAGCACAAGCACCAAGCTGCTCAGCCCCCAGCACATCCACACTGGGGAACAGCCCTACACGTGTAGGGAATGTGGGACAGCTCCACCCTCTACACCCACCGTCGCCTCCACATCAGGGAGAGGCCCTTCCACTGTGGGGAGTGTGGGAAGAGCTTCAGGCAGAGCTCTTCCTTGACCTCCCACCAACGGACCCACCAGTAATGGAAGCCCCGAGTGCCCCGACTGCGGGAAGAGCTTCGGCCGCTGCTCCAACTCCATCAGCCATGGGAGGACCCGCGTTGGATGATCCACAGGGACCCCCGTTGGGCACAGACCTGGTGTGCTGGTTTAATGGTAAACCAGCAGGGGAAATGACAGTGGTGACATCACGGGGACATCGATGACATCACAGGGACAGCGGTGACATCACCAGGGGTTAATTTTGGTGTGAAAATCTCCTGCTTTGGGCAATAAATTCTGACTCCTCCTCCGGCATCCGTCAGTTCCTCCCTGGGAACCAGGAATGGGAATGGGGACACCTGGAATGGGAATGGGGGCACCTGGAATGGGAATAGGGAAAACAGAGGTGGGATGGGAACACCTGGAATGGGAATGGGGACACCTGGAATGGGAATGGAGACACCTGGAATGGGAATGGGAACACCAAGAACTGGGAATGGGGAAACCAGAAGTGGGATGGGAACATCAGGAATGGGAGGAGGGACAATAAGATTGGGAATGGGGACATCTAGAATGGGATGGAACACCAGGAAAGGGAATTGGAACACCTGGAATGGGAATAGGAACACCTGGAATGGGAATGAGAATGCCTGGAATGGGGACATAAGGAATGGAATGGGGACAATAGCAATGGGATGGGAATACCAGGAATGGAAATGGGAAGACCTGGAATGGGAATGGGGACATTGGGAGCAGACTGGGGACACCAGGAATGGGAATGGGGGCAGCAGGAATGGGAATGGAGACACCTGGAATGGGAATAGAAACACCTGGAATGGGAACGGGAACATTGGGAATGGGAATGGGGACACCTGGGCTGGGAATGGACACTGGGAATGGGTATATTGGGAGCAGATTGACAACACCAGGAATTGGAATGGGGACACCTGGAACTGGAATGGGGACACCTGGAATGGAAATGGGAACACCTGGAATGGGAGTAGGGAAAACAGAGGTGGGATGGGAACACCTGGAATGGGAATGGGGACAATAGGAAGGGGAATGGAGACCCCTGGAATGGGAATGGAAACACCAAGAACTGGGAATGGGGAAAACAGAAGTGGGATGGGAACACCAGGAATGGGAGGAGGGACAATAGGAATGGGAATGGGGACACCTAAAATGGGATGGAACACCTGGAAAGGGAATTGGAACTTCTGGAATGGGAATGGGGACACCTGGAATGGGAATGGGGACACCTGGAATGGGATGGGAACAACTAGAATGGGATGGGAACACCTGGAACAGGAATGCAAACCCGTGCAATGGGAATGGGAACCCCCGGGCCCGGGCTGTGTCCCTGGTGAAACAGGAGGCCAGGCCCAAAAGAGTTCACGAAGAAATTTGGGCCTGCTAACAAGCTCCCAACATCCAAGACCATCTGTGCTCGTTCTGTTCTACTGACTGGAGCAAAGCTTCAGAGAATAGTACAGGAACATGTCCTAGGCCTGAGGGGATAAATTAGAGAGACAGCAGGATCAGGGAGACATTGGAAGAGGAGGAATAGGCCGGGAGCCAGGGCTTTTTCCAAGCTTCAGGGAGCGGGTCAAGAACAATGGAAGAGAAGGAAGGTCAAGCTGAGGAAGAGGAGTTGAAGCCCCCAGAGCCATGGAGGAAGAGTGGAAGTCCCCTCAGGATTGAGGGCCAAGAGAAGCACCGCCCCAAGCCCCGCCTGAGCTCCACCTATACTCCGCCTATTCTTAATATGCAGAGAGAGATGTTGGAATCACTTGAATATGCATTTAATCCCAGCTGAAGATTGTATAAAAATGCTGATTTTGTGTGAAGCCTTGGAGCAAGTTTGTCCAGCGCGAGCTGGCTTGCTCCCAACGTTGAATAAACAAATACCTGGCTGCTTAAAGAGAAAAAAGTCTCTGAGTCACTCCTGGTCTCTCCCAGTTGCTCCCAGTTTCCTCCATGTGGTCCCACTCATTCCCAGTTGCCCCCAGAAGCTTCCAGCATGATCCCAGTTGCTCACAGCCACTTCCAGTCATCCCCAGTGCACTCCCAGTTGCTCCCAGGATGATCCCAATCACCTCCTGCATGATCCCACTCACTCTTGATATGATCCCAGTATGACCCCAGTCACCCTCAGTGTGGTCTCAGTTGCTCCCAGCATGGGCCAAGCTGCTCCCACTGTGATCCCAGTATGGTCCCAGTTCCTCCCAGTTACCCCTAGCACAGATCCAGTCACTCCAAGTATGATCCCAGTCCTCCCTCCTGACGGTCCCAGTCAATCCCAGTTGCTTCTATTGTAGATCCAGTCACTCACAGTTCCTTCCAGTTGCCCCCAGCCTGGTCCTAATTCCCCTTCATGTAGTCCCAGTCACTCCCAGTACAGTCCCAGTTACCCCCACCATGGTTGCAGATACTCCCAGTATATCCCAGTAGAGCCCTCAGCATGCTCGTAGTCCTTCCCAGTCACTCCCAGATGCCCCAGTAACATTCCAGTTTCCACCAGTATGATCCCAGTGACTCCAAGGCCCTTCCACTATATCCTAAGTGGCCTGCAGTTGCTCCCAGTAGCCCTCAGTGTGGTCCCAGTTGCTCCCAGTATGATCCCTGTTGCCCCAGTTCTGGTCCTGGAGGGTCCCAGTGTGCTCAGATCCTGCTCCCGGGGGGTCCTGCTGGGTCCCGGTCCTGGTCCCGGTGTATCCTGGTGTCCCAGTCCATTCCAGTCCATCCCAGTCCATCCCAGTCTGTCCCAGTCCATCCCAGTCCATTCCAGTCCATTCCAGTCCATCCCAGTC